GCTAAGAAGTACCCAAAATTTGTGTTTGTATGCTAAAACCTGTCGACCGTCTAACCTTAGGCCAGGTTAAGGTTTTTTGTCAACTTTCACCCTCTTTTCAGTGGAGTAGGATAGGAGTACCCCATCTGTTTTGTTTTCTTTCGACCTCATAATAAATGAATTCATCCAAAAAGCATAACTCAACCTAGAGCTTCGTCTTAGAGGCAGATTAGTTGACTTGGAGTTTGACGGTTCTTTGCTCAGTAACAGCGCACAAACGATGCAGGATAGAAAATTAAGGCTATTCGGTAGGAAGCATGCATTACATCAATAACCTGCGAGATCTTACTACATGATTTTGTCAGGTGGCGGCGTTTTCTAAAGGGTGACATTTCTGGTGCCGGCTCAACATCGCCCTTTCTAGGGAAGATCGTGGGGCGGTATGTGCTCTGTTTTTCGACCGGTGCAAACCAACCTCTCCAAGCCTGTGACCGATGAATACCTGTTATCTGCATTTGTTTTCTGCACAGCATCGTTTGTGTAAGGCGAAGTAGGACTTGAGGCATTTCCTTTTCTGAGGATCTACTATGATAGCCAGTCGAAAGGCAACTCACCATATGCATCTTTCTTTTGGCGAGAGCAATCTCGATGCAACAGGAAATGACTGATCAAATCTTCCTTGCTCACAATTGCCGAAGCCTAAACAGCCGATTTCAGTCAATAAGGGGCGAGGGGAAAGTAAACACACGCATGTTGAACAAGTAGTTCATCAATCTGATCCAGCGTGTGCAATCGCAGGCAACAGCGTACTTTACAATCTATATAGGCTTTTTTCAAAAATCCACCAACATCATCCACGTGAGAATCTACGACGAAATGTGCCAGTGAATAATGAATTTCCGAACCTAGCAACTGATCTGCCAACCGCATACACTCGGCATAACGCCCATGAAGATACAACCAGTCACATGCAGCCTTCTGTGACTCCGCGTCTGGAGCGTTGAGGAACGCCTGAAATCAAAATCGAACGCACGTTATGTTGTTTTTACAAAGAGATTACCAGAGTTCCGGAACATTTGGCAATGTACTGAACATCCTCTGGACGAAAAGACGTTTTTGACTCTTCAAAGAGATCATCCTCGAATTGGAAATCGCCATCCATGTTACTGGAAGGAAAACGAATCTGGTAAGAATAAAATCAGTCCTTTACAAACAATAAGGGATGAGGAGAGCATGATTCGCTTGCGATCAGTTTGGTTTTACAACCATTAACTACGCACCATTGTGAGGCGGTTTTGATTTCTGCCACGATCTCGGATGAGGCCGGAGTGTGCAACTTGGCTTCCATATTCTAAGAGAAGGCGGA